CTTGCCTCTAATTTGTTCAACATATCAACCATGTCAGCTCTTGGGGCTAATTGTAGGAGGATAGATTGCAGATCCGCAACAACTGCTCAGGTATCGGAGGCTGTTGGGCTCACTGGCAGGCTGTCCTGCGTTCATGCGCCAGACTCCATCTTGGGCCCGTCTTTCAATCCAGGCAAGGCCATGCCCCCAGATTCTGCAATTTTTTTAAGAACAAGCAGAGAAAGTAAAATCTCAGGATCTTCAAAAGGTGAGCAAGTATTTATGTTAAAATTCATTGTATCTTGGATGGATATCCCAACATACTGAACTATATAATTTTTTTCCCCTTTTTTTTTCAGAATCTGTGACATTATATAAAAGAAAGTCACAAATTTTCAAAAGGGATATAACATATCAAGTTTAAGGCACTATTTTGTTTGTATTTAAACAATATAGCACTATTTGTATTTTAATTTATTTTTTTATGTTATGAATATATACCCCAACTGAAAACACTCAACTGAATGGTTTTGATTTCTTATTTTTGGGTTTTCACTCAATAATATTTTCTCTGCCTGGTGGATTGTTGTGTGGGGTACAGGAGACACCTACACGAGTGTGCTGGCTGCTATTCATACAGTGAGGGAAAAAAGTATTTGATCCCCTGCTGATTTTGAACATTTGCCCACTGACAAAGAAATGACCAGTCTATAATTTTAATGGTAGGTGTATTTTAACAGTGAGACAGAATAACAAAAAAAAAAAAAAAATCCAGAAAAACGCATGTCAAAAAAAGTTATAAATTGATTTGCATGTCAATGAGTGAAACGTTCAAAATCAGCAGGGAATAAAATATTTTTTCCTTCACTGTATAAATGGCTTACAGAGCTCCAGAACAGTAATGCTCATAGTGACGTGTATTGAAACTGCAGTAAATATGTGTCTAACTAAAATTGTGTAAAAAAAACAAACACACTTTATTCTCATCCTAAACTACCTTACATAAGATGTGAGAAGTCTGTCAGGTCCCTTATGAGCATTCTTTCCTTTAAGTAAAGAAGAGGAATGTTAAGAATCCAGTGCTTTGGGATATTGCTAGAGGTGAATTCATAAATAATACAAAAACTAGCACAAAAGGACACAAATAAAAAAGAACAAAATTAAAATAAAATATTTGTAAAATTAAATAAGTATGTTTGAAATATATATGACAACACATAGTATTTATATCTTCACTCAACATAAAAAAAATTATAATCTACTGTTTCATTTAAAAAGGTAAACAAGAAAAGTCATAAAGAACCATACTATAACTGGTGAAAAAAAAAAAATGCAATTTAGTATTCCAAGCAAAAACAGTGTTTTATTACAATACTGTATTTGGTTGACGTAACACTTGCAGGCATGGTCTCCTACCTGGGGTCTGCCCTCTTATCTGTGCACTTTTCCCTCCCTCTTCTACATCTTCCAGACCACTAGAAAAATGCCAGAGATAAGCAAAGAGGTGCAGGACTCAGCTCATTGGCTGATAACATTCAACTATAAGGCAAAAAAGAAATTCTCCAGGCACTCAAGGTGTTCAAGCCTTGACAAAGACCTCTTAACATGTCAAAATGTTGCTGCTCTTTTCTGTTCTATTAAAACTGCCTGCGGCTTGAACACCTTGAGTGCCTGGAGAATTTATTTTTTGCCTTATAGTTGTTGGATTGCTGGTCCTGCTCCGGATTCAACTGACTCAAGTGAACTGATAATGCACTGGCTCTGCTGGCTTCTATGAGGAGGTGGGGAGCGTCAGTTTGACTACTTATAATCAGAGGGCATTGTAGTGGTTATGTTGTTTAGCGTGTTCATTAAGCTCATTGAAGTGGTCTCGGTGCAATGTCCTCTGTCCCGTAACCCTACAGTGGTAATTATTGCAGTTTCTGACAGCCACTTGAGTGACATCCAGGTGCTGGATGAAATGAGGCATGAGGACTTCCAGTGTCACCAGAATCCTCATAGGAAAGCATTTATTAATGCTTTCCTAAGGGGAAATCCTAATGCGAGCGCAACCATTGCCGCGCATGCGCCTAACACCCTACCCCTCTGGCTGACATTGGTGGGGGAGGAGCATGGGCGGAGTCTGACCCAGCGCCCGGGGACAACAGCACTGGATTCAGGTAAGTGACTGGAGGGATTTTATATTGTTATGGCTTTAGCATTTATGCAACTTTCCAGTGCACGCAGCAATCTTGAAATTGTAATCTGAAGTTAAATTGCATTTTTTTTTCTGGATATATGGGAATGGGAATAATGCATAAATTAAAGGAACACTGAGCAAACTGTATGCATCTTTTGATCCTTCCTGTGGTGATGGATCAGAAGATGCATTCACTAGAAGCAGTTTGCTCAATGTAATTTTAATTAATGCATTATTCCCATGTTGTCTCCACTCATTCAGTTGTCATTTCCATGTGTTCCCCATGGGATAGCCTTGGAACTGGGCTCTTGCTTTGTTTCATTACAAATGTTGGAATAAGCCATAATAACACAGTACAGTGTAAAATCAGATGCCTAAGCATATAAGCAAAGCAGAGAAATGCTGAAGTAAGAATCTGACTGATCCAAACTAGAAGCCACTGCACAGTCCAAAGTCAAGCATGCAAGATATCGAAGATAAACAAAGCGTTGCCAGGAAACACAACATACATATAACAACTAAACAACAACTTCATGTGAGGTGAATACTCTTCTAATATCTGCTGAGTGGGAACTACACAAAAGGCAATCTACTCAACTTTCAATCTAAACACCAGCTCCAAACACATCTTAATGCACATCTTCCAAAATTTCAAATGGACAAAGAGAGGTACACTTTAATTTGAAGAATGTGAGTAGGAGTGTGGCCAGTGGTGGAGCAGTTTTTAAGAAATTTCAGGACTTCCCACAAGGCTAACAAGGCCATGGCTTCTGGGCGGCAGGCTGTAGAGACCATGAGTTAGGGGAGATCAAAGATCTCCCTCTTCAATCAGCCCATTCTTATGTCCATGGAGGCATGCCCATAGATCACCTGAAAGAACAATGCAAGTAGTCTGGAGAGTGCAGACCAGATTATACTTCAGCATCTATCAACTCCACACACACACACACACAATACAGTCCCTTTTCACATGCAGACACACATACCACACCACGAACAGCTCTATCAACACACACAACCTCACAGCAGCCTTCCTTCCACACACAAAACTAAAAGCAACATCCCCATTCACACAACCCTCCCAAGCAGCATCCCCACCAACATACACCACTGCAAAAAGCCTCCTGACATATACACACCCTCTCAAAGCTCTGTCACCATTATCATCCAACCACCCATCTAATATAATTTAGCATCCTGTCACACTCCAATCAAATACCCCAAATGAGTTGCATTCACCCATCCAATCAAATACACTAACATATCTGACAGGTTGGAGGTGCAGCAAGGTGGTTTAAATAGGCCTGCAGCTTCTAGAAAAGAGAGACAAAAATTAAAGACATTTAGGTCCAAACACACACTACACCCCAAATAACCCTTTAAACACACTGCAGTCCCTATGCACATGCAGACACATGTACTACACCTCAAACAGTCCCATCCACACACACAAGCACTCAACAGCATCCCCATACATGCAACTCCCCAAGCAACATCCCCACAAACTTATAACAACACAAGCAAACTCCTGACACACATACACACATTCTTACAGTCCTGTCACCATTCTCAATTAAACACTTACCTAGTCACACCTGTAGTTACCGTCAGACAGACAACCAGTAGAGAAGCTTCTTCCTTAAGATCTTGGATTTTTGAAGGTCGTTCTGTTTGTGTTATCAGACAAAACATGATGACACAGAATGTATAATCAAGTGTTGTAGGTCCTTAATGATGCTCTGATAAATCTATTAATCATCAGGAGTTTCCCAGCAAAGGACTATGGATACAATATATATTTTAAACTTTCCACACTAAAAAAAATTAACACTGGAACATTAAAAATAAGAATATTTGAGGGGGCCATGATTATTAGCCTACTTTTAGCAGTTATTGTTGGGCTAAACAATTTATCTGGGTCTGGAAACCCTTAAGCTGCCATGGACTTATGCGCTAACACGTTCTGCTTTCCCTTGTCTCTATGTAAATTTGGTTTCCGGGAATACTCAATGAGCACCAGTCATTATGGGCATTTGAAGATTTTAATGCATTGTACATTGTATATATAAAACACATTTTTTTTTTTAGGGGTGTATACAACAAAAGGCAAAATCAACCAATCTTAGAAGTCTCAGTGCAAAAAGTATAATTTTTCATATAGCATTATGTATTGCTTGGAAAGCAAAAACCAAAAAGGTTATGGTAGGGAAAAAATTTGATTAAAAAAACTCCCTCCACCTGAAGTCTGTGGATAGTTAATACAATGTTTAACAAAAATCTGCACACCAGTGAAGCCATAAGACTTGTTTTTCCCACAGAAATCACAAATTTGCAGTGATGTTACTACCGCAAAGGATTTTGGGTGGGCATATACAAATTAGTTCAACAAGTAATCAAATTTTTGCATCATTCCATTTTAAACATGGATTCCTTTGAGTCTGTGTGTGCTGTATACAACAGCTTTGAAACAGAACTCAAAGGAATCCATTTTTAACCCCTTAAGGCCGTTACAGTGTTCTATGCTGTCCCCATTATAATGGGCTTTAAAGCCAATGCAGCGGCATAGAATGCCGTAACGGCTTAAGCCCCCAGGAGATCTGCGGTACTTATAGCCCAGGCAGCCCTTCCACAGCAAATATATAATTACATAAATGATTACATAAGTATACACGTAGAATTTAAATACATACATATGTATTTATATTAAAATTCAACATGTATATTTAAATGGAAACTCCAGTGCCAGGAAAACAATCGGTTTTCCTGGCACTGCAGGTCCCCTCTCCCTCCCACCTCCTAATCCCCGGTTGCTGAAGGGGTGAAAACCCCTTCAGTCACTTACCAGAGGCAGCGACATGTCCCACGTCGCTGCTTCTTCCTCCGCTGCCGCTCCTCCTCTGCATTACATTGGCCGGTGGGCGAGACTGATCCTGCCCACCGGCCGGGGAGACGTAATGCGCATGCACAGCAATGCCGCGCATGCGCATTAGAGCTCCTCATAGAAAAGCATTGAAAATGCTTTTCAATGCTTTCCTATGTGGAATTGAGCGACGCTGGAGGTCCTCACACAGCATGAGGACGTCCAGCGACGCTCTAGCACAGGTTTTCTGTGCTATGAAGCAGGAAATGCCCTCCACTAGAGGTGGAGTTAACCCTGCAATGTAATTTTTGCAGTTTATAAAAAAACTGCAATAATTACACTTGCAGGGTTAAGGGTAGTGGGAGTTGGCACCCAGACCACTCCAATGGGCAGAAGTGGTCTGGGTGCCTGGAGTGTCCCTTTAAGTAATCTTTTTTTTTTCAACTTTTTTTTTGTGAAAGTCTTGTCGTGAATATAACAGACAGTATATGATGTAGATAAAATACATGAGAGAAGTGTCGACATTATCCATTTCACATCTCTATTTCTCCTGTTTTTAGTTACGTTTATATTGTACTACATACAAAGACATTTCACTTTTTTGTTACTTGTTGTTTTTTTCACTTAAATGTAAAACCAGCGGTAATCTTCAAACAAAACCTTCTGAGCTTATAAATTTTCGGATTTTTAAGTAGTGTAAGATATTCGGGTGGGAATTGTGTCGCCTGTCCCTTGCAGTATGGTCCTGGACCAGCCAGGCGTCGCTGTATTCGTCGTTATGTAGGAATTTAGAATTCCAATCCCCTCCCGACGCAATGAGGAAGAGAAGTAAAGAGACAGATAGTGAAAAAGATAGAGAAAGGGGGGGAAGGGGGAATATTTCAGTACAGGGTAATGCGGGGGTGTCCGGTGTTTCGTCCCTTGTAACCGGTCCCTGAGGAATCCATCTCTGCTCCAGTCTTAATCCTAAGGGGGATGGTTCAATTCACATAGTTGGAAAGATCGCTACATGCAGGGCCAGATTAAGAGCCCAGTGGGCCTGGAGCTGATAATTATAATGGGTCTAATTACAGAATCTTATCGACCAAAAACACTAAAACAACCATACCTCCCAAGCGTCGTGTATCTGATGGAGATGGTGTTGGAGGGAAAGGATGCAGCTATACTAAAACACATACTCTATGCTAATTTCTCTCTAATTTATGCTTTCACCCTTCAAGTAAATCCATACCCCCTAATAGCAGTGTCCAGTGAAGCAGGAAGTCAATGGGCAGCGTAAAAGGGTGTGCCACTGACGCGAATCACATGACCAGACCTGCCAAAAGAGGTGAACATGCCCAAAAAGGGGGCATGTTTGTCCAAAGAATTGGAAGGCCAGTCTGGCATGAATGCATGTCAGGCTGCCTGCCAATCATGCAGGTTGTCCAACTAAGGGCATACTATGCAGGCAGCACCCTGAGCTTGACATAAATGCATCAAATTATGTGCCTACTCCACGCTTTCTAAGGACTGTCCCCTAGCACTCGCTGGTCCACTTGTCTCCTTATCATCTTACTAGCAGGCAGAAGTTCCTGGTATATCGTCTGGGAAAACGATAAAGGTGTATGTAGTGAGTGTAGAAGAAAGGGGACATGCCACAGTGTTAGAGAAACCAAAGTCTGCATTAGCTAAACTAATTTTATTGCTTTTATTTGCTTCCAAACTTAAAGGGACAATGTAATCACCAGAACAACTACAGCTTATTGGATTTGTTCTGGTAAGTAGAATCATTCCCTTCAGGCTTTTTGCATTAAACACTGTCTTTTCAGAGAAAATAACTCCACTAGCCACTAGTTAGATGGCTGCTAGAGGTGCTTCCTGGGACAATACTGTCTAGTTTCCCCCCCTTTGCATGCAGACACTGAACTTTCCTCATAGAGATGCATTGATTCAATTTATCTTTATGAGGAGATGCTGATTGGCAAGGGCTGTGTTTGACTTGTGCTGGCTCTGCCCCTGATCTGCCTAGTTGACAGTCTCAGCCAATCTTATGGGGAAGCATTATAATTTGCTCAGACCACCACTTTTGATGATGTCAGTTCAGAGGCAGAGCCAGCATCTGCAGACTTGAATACAAGTAAGATTTTACTATATTTAGGGAGGCAAGAGGTGGTCAGGGGGGCTAGATGATGTTTTTTTACATAATAGTGTCAGAAATACACGATTGTGTTCACTACCCTAGTGTTCCTTTAAGCAAGAGTATGTGAAGAGTAGTTAGTGTTGCCACCTTTCTTGGAAAAAAATACCATCCTTAATAATTTGTGTAATTAATTAGTTATGCATGACATCAGATGATGTAAATCACAAGAAGTGACATTAGAGAACATTCTGTAAAATCACCAACAAACTACTCACAGTTTGATTCTGCTGTATAGATGAATTGCTCACAGTGTCTCCATGTCTCCCAGTGTCTCAGTCTCGTAGTCACCCAGTGTCCCTATGTATCACAGGGTCAGTATCCACATGTCGCCCAGTCCCATAGTCTCCCAGTGTCCCCATGTCTCAGTGTGTCCCCATGTCACTAGGATACTTGGGGACACAGAGACCCGGGGACTCTGGGAGACATGGGGGCACTGAGACATTTGGGGACACGAGGAGACATGGGGGCACTTGTGAATACAGACATGAAGACCCTGGGAGACATGGGGACACTGGGAGACATGGGGACACAGACATTTGGGGACACTGGGAGAGGGGGACACTGAGACACTAGGAAAACATAGACATGGGGACACAGACACTGGGAGACATGGGGACACTGAAACATTTGGGGACACTAAGACACTAGGGACATTGAGAGACATGGGAACACAGACACTGGGAGACTAGGGGACACTGGGAGACTAGGGGACACTGGGAGACATGGGGATACTGAGACACTAGGGACACTTGTGGACATGGGGACACTGGGAGACCTGGGGACTCTGAGTCAACAGGAACAATGAGAGACATGGGGGCACAGACACTGGGAGACTAGGGGAAACTGGAAGCACTAGGGTCACTGGATGGGGGACACTGAGGCACTAGGGACACTGGCTGGGGGACATGGGTACACTGGAAGACAAGGGGACACTGTGTCCCTAGTGTCTCCATGTCCCAATGTCTCAGTGTCTCCCAATGTCCCTATGTCTCACAACATTCCCATGTGTCTCAGCATCCCCATGTCTCACAGTGTCCCCTAGTGTCTCAGTGTCCCCATGTTTTCAAGTATCTCAGTGTCCCCAGGTCTCCCAGTGTCCCCTAGTGTCTGTGTCCCCATGTGTCCCCTAGTGTCTCAGTGTCCCCATGTCTCCATGCTGCCTTCCCCCCATCCCTCACTTACCTGAGCTGCTGTATGGACTCTCTGTGCCGTGTAGCTGCTCCCCCTGTAACTTCCTATCCCTGCCTCTCTCCACACACAGTGACCCCTACTGGCCGGTGCTGGTATTGTAGAGTAATCTCTGTTATACTGAGAAAAATACCTGCATTTGTATTGCCAATATTACTGCAGACCTGCACAGCCAGGCAACCTTTTTTTAAATGGGCCTAGTCCATGGGCCTGGGCCTGGAGCTGCAGCTCCATCAGCCCCTATGTTAATCCAGCCCTGGCTACATGTCCAGGGTTCCCACATTTTTTCAAATCTAGACATGGCGCCTCTTACCCGGGCTGTCAAGCTATCCATTAGGTATACATCTTTTAAATGAGATATTACTCTCCGTATGGGTGGCATATCTACCTTTAGCCATGACTGTGCGAGGACTCTCCTTGCTGCTAATGTTATTTTGTGTATCAATTTCTGTTCCCTGTTTGTCCAGTCATCTAGAGATCTATTTAACAGATATGTCCAGGGGTTTAGCTTGGGTGCCCTGTGGAAAATCTGTTTGATTAAATGAAAAGCCTTCGTCCAGATGTTTTGCACTCGTGGGCAGTCCCACCACATATGGACGTATGTGCCCTTGTGGCCACACCCCCTCCAGCAGTCATCAGTTGGTGTTTGTTGCATGTGAAATAGTTTGACCGGGGTGGTTTACCAGCTGAACATTGTTTTATAGGATTGCTCCTGGAGGGAGACACATATGGACACAGCTTTATTGGCCTCCCATATTTCTCTCCACTCCACTCCCTCCAGGACCTCTCCCAGCTCCCTCTCCCAGGTGTCTGTATACGTTAACGTACCCTAGTCCTCTGTTTCTGAGCAAATGTGCGCGTTCATCTTAGTTATGAGTACTGATTGCGTGGTTTTGTTTAGGCACATTTTCTCAGAAAAGGTCTGTGGGCCCTTCCCCGCCTTTTGTATGTGTGGGTGTTGTACATAGTCCTTGAGTTGTAGGTACCGAAAGAAGCCTTTGGGGGTGATGTGAGCTAACTGTTTTAGGTGTTCGAATAGGACTATACTGTTGTTACTGAACATGTGGCATATTCTCTGTAGCCCTACTCTTTTCAAGTTTGCAAATTCTCTAGCCTCCATACCCGGGGGAAAGTCCCTGTTTCTCAGTAGAGGGGTTAGTGGGGATGGGGAGGACGATAATTTGTATTTGAAACCTGATGCGTCCCATAATCTCAGGGAGTTTAAAATCGCTGGACAAGTGGTTCTTAGTATTGGCCTATCTTCTTTGGGCACCCACATGTGGTATTGGGGTAAGTCTGGGCCTGTAAGGAGGGATTCTAGATCCACCCATCTCCTTAACTCTAGTGGTGCATGCCACATAGCCACCTGGGATAGTTGCGCTGCTAGATAATAAAAGTATAGATGTGGAAGTCCCAGACTTTTCGGGAGATTCTGTGGCAACGGTTTTGCCATATGAAGTCCCCAATTGCTTTTTGTAACAGGGCTAAGTCAGATTTCAGAAGTTTGATAGGTAACGCCTGGAAAAGGAACAGGATGCGGAGGAGTACATTAATTTTTACTGTATGAATACGCCCGATCCAAGAGATGGGCTTATCTAGCCATTTATCCATGTTGTGCATTAGGGTTCGTATAAGTGGGAAGTAGTTTAGGTGGTATAATTTGGCCGGGTCATTTGGTATCTCCAAGTATTTTAGGTAGTCTTCTGCTATGGGGATGTTATGGGTCGCCCGCAACGCCTCCGTGTCCTCCGCAGACAGGCCCATCAGGAGGGCACTAGATTTTTCCAAGTTGGCCTTATAGCCAGAGAATGCAAGGACCTCCTGTAGGGCATCCATGGAGTCTTTTGGTTCCGTGAGTGTCAGCAGGACATCGTCCACATAGGCAGAGACGAGAAACTCCTGTCCCCCCCATGGCTATCCCATGTATACGAGGGTGTTTATGCAAAGCTTGTAGGAGCGGCTCCAGGGTTAGCACAAATCGGAGCGGGGAAAGAGGGCATCCTTGTCTTGTTCCATTTCCCAATTTTGAAGGTTTAGGCCCAGCTCCGGCAATCTTTACTTGTGCGTATACTTGGTTGTACATGGCTTTGATCGTAGTCACATATTTTTCTGGGAATCCCAAGAATTCCAGGAGGTTAAAAAGATAGGGCCATTCGACCCTATTGAAAGCTTTTTCAGCATCTATTGCGACTATTGCTGTTGGTATGCCTGTGGTCTTCTGTCGCCAAATGAGGTCTATGTTCCTTCTGGTGTTCTCAAAAAGCTGTCGATCCGGTATAAAGCCCACCTGGTCTGGGTGTATCAGTGTTTTCAGATGTGGGTTAAGGCGGTCTGCCAGGACCTTCGCTAGTATCTTTATGTCATGATTGATCAGGGAGATGGGTCTATAGTTGTCTGGGAGTAGGGGGTCCCTACCTGGTTTCTGGAGTAGGATGATGTTGGCCAGTGACATTCCTCTATCCGGGTTCCCACCTTCCATGAAGTCGTTGAATAGCCGTTCTAAACTGGGTTCTTCCCTGAAGGTTTTGTAATATGCCCCGTTGAATCCATCTCGTCCTGGAGCTTTTGTTGCCATTAAGCTCTGCTATTGCCCTGTCTATTTTGTCTCCAGTGATAGTGTCGTTCATATGTGTCGTTGCCGCCACTGTTGGGAGTTTTTAGGAAGGTGTGCATGCTTTCTGTTGCCATCTGTGCGGTAGGATCTCTTGTTGTATGGTTATAAAGCGTCTTGTAGTAATCCGTGAAAACTTGTGCAATATCTGACGGGGTGTTTTTTTTTTTTGTCAATCTCTTTTTATTGAAATACGAACATTGGACAGATTAATACAATATCAAAGTACAACATCAGGGTGTAACATTAGTTTCACATAGCAAGACTTTTGCTTTGAACCTGTTTGCATGTCATAATTTCAATAAATGTTACAATAAAAGGTGAAGCGTTATGGGTCTAGGTAGCAAAACTTATAGGTGATACTGCATTTTACTAAACCATGGGCCTTTGCCGACCCTCACCTCCGACTACCAATGATGCCATCCCCTGGGCTTTGGCCTGGGTTTGACCTGCGTTAGTTAGCAGGAAAGCTTCCCTTTGATTTAAGCTTGTGCCCGTCTTGAGGCAGTTAGTCTCGGGGTATGGGTTCCCTGTCTCGTTTGTTCTTGCGTCGGGTCCTGTCGTGTAATTAGACAGTGATGGCTGATAGTGTGTCAGTGGTCTCTGGGACCTCAGAACTAGTTATGCCTCACAGTATGAGCCTGGTCGCCCGTTCCCTCTAGTTTTTTAGTTCTGTGTATTATCTCATGGGCTATTATTATTATTATTATGATATTTATAAAGCGCCGTCAAATTCCACAGTGCTTTACAATGGGTGGACGAACAGACATGTAGTTGTTACCAGACAAGTTGGACACACAGGAACAGAGGGGTTGAGGGCCCTGCTCAATGAGTTTACATGCTAGAGGCAGTGGGGTAAAATGACACAAAAAGGTAAGGATAGTATTAGACTAGTGACAGTTGCAGAAGAGGAATCAGTCAGGAGCTATTAACAGTTTAATTGATACGCTTTTATGAAAAAGTGGGTTTTTAACGATTTTTTTAAGGAGTGGAGACTGGGTGAGCATCTAACGGAGGAGAGAAGCGAGTTCCACAGGAACGGTGCAGCCCTCGAGAAATCTTGAAGGCAAGCATCAGTGGTGGGAGTACGGACAGAAGATAGACGTAAGTCTTCAGCAGATCGTAAGGGCCTTAGACTTGTGTATAAGGGAGGATAGATAAGTGGGAGCAGCATTATGTAGAGATTTGAAGGCAAGAACCAGAATTTTAAATTGAGCTCTATATTTTATAGGAAGCCAATGTAGTGACTGACAGAAGGGTGAGGCATGGGAGGTGCGGGCGGACCGGAAGATGAGCCTCGCCGCCGCATTCATTATGGACTGTAACGGCGCAAGTTGGGAGCATGTAAGACCACTGAGAAGTGGATTACAGTAGTCAAGGCGAGAAAGGACAGTGGAATGGACCAACACCTTAGTTGCATCTGGCGTTAAGTAGGGGCGAATGCGCGCAATGTTTTTGAGATGGAAATGACACGATTTGGCGATAGATTGAACATGAGGCTTGAAGGAGAGGTCGGAGTCAAAGAGAACACCTAGGCAGCGAGCCTGCGTGGTGGAGCTGATGGTAGCACTGTTGACTTGGAGGGAGACAGACACAGGAGTAACAACACTTGAGGGAGGAAAGACCAGAATTTCAGTTTTGGTCAAGTTTAGTTTAAGGAAGTGGGCAGCCATCCAGTTAGAAACAGCAGAGAGGCAGTCAGAGACACTAGTCAAGAGGGAAGGGGAGAGATCAGGAGAGGACAGGTAGATTTGCGTGTCATCTGCATAGAAATGATATTGGAAGCCAAAGGAGCTAATGAGTTTACCAAGGGAGGCAGTATAGATGGAGAACAGTAGGGGAACAAGGACTGAAACTTGGGGGACACCAACAGAGAGGAGTTGGGGAAAAGAAGCAGAGCCAGAGAAAGAAACACTGAAAGAGCGCTGGGAGAGGTAGGAGGAGCACTAGGAGAGAGCAATATCTTGTAGACCGATATTGTGGAGGATGAGAAGAAGCTGTTGATGATCAATATTATGTCTATTATGATATTATGTCTGAGTCATGCGCTATTTTGACTGTTCTGGTTTCGAAGCTATATCGAAGTGCGTAAGTGTGGCCCACCGCGGGTTTATATCGGTAAGCGAGAGGAAGTCCTTCTCTGAAGCCTGTGGAGAAGCAGAGATTCCATCTTGCTGCACCTCCTAACAGCAGCGGGTAAGGGCCATATTAAGCCCGGCCCTGCTGCCAGTTTGGCTCTGCCCCCGATTTTGCGTAGCTCCGCCCCCCACTTTTCCTCCGTGTGGCCAGTCTTTACGTGTGTGAGCTGTTCTGGCCACCCGGCACCCTAACTACCATGGGGCACTGTGCGGCCACAGCTCACACAGCTCCCTTCAGCACCCAGACCAGGGTCATGGCACCCATGGCGGACCACCCCCTCCGCCCCCCACTTAGTACGCCACTGCATGTGGGTAACTCTCATTCCTGGGCTACCATACGCTCTCAAAGGCAACATAACTGACCTAGGAATTTTCATTTGACCCTTATATTTGACCCTGTAACTTTCGAAAAAACTATAAATTCTGTACATGGGGGGTACTGTTATACTCTGCAGACGTCACTGAACAGATATTCGTGTTTCAAAACAGTAAAACATATCAAAACAATTATATCATTAGTGAAAGTGTTCTTTGTGTGTGAAAAATGCATAACAAATCACTTTCACTGACAATATCATCCCTGTGATATGTTTTACTGGGTTTTTTTTTGTGTTCAGCGAAGCCTCTAGAGTGAAACAGTACCTCCATGTACAGGTTTTAGGGTGTAATTGAAAGTTAAAGGGTTAAACACAGTGCTAGCAAATTAAATTCTATGGACTTTCAGCCTGGATTGTCAGGCAGGTCCCTTAATTTGCAATCAGTAAAATGACTTAATTATGTAAAAATAATACATAAATATGCATGTAGAATTTAGAATTTAAATACATATTTATATATTTGAAGTCTACGTGTATATTTATGAAATTATATATGTAATTTTGTATATGGATATATATATATATATATATATATATTTCGTATTATTTTTATTTATATATATATATATATATATATATATATATATAATTTCATTCTAAGTGTATTTTTATATATATATATATATATTATCAAAGTAAGTTAGAATAAAATTACATTTATATATAATTTTTTAATTTTGTAAAAATTATTACATTTTTAAATTTATTAACTTATTATTTGTATTTTATAATAATATATATAATATATACACGTGTGTAATTTAATTAGAAGTGTATTTTATATTAATATATGTATATTTTAATATAAAAATACACTTAGTATGACATTATATATATATATTGGAAGGCGGGGTGAGTTGTTGTGGGAGGGGCTATGGCCCTTTAAAAAGGGACTCCCCCCTCCTACCTAACATACTTCTGGCGTCCAGTTCACAGCATGGTGCTTGAGTTCATCCTGGCAGCTCGCATTGCAGTCATTCAGGGGCTCGTTCAGCCCGCAAACGGTGGTTCCCGAACTAAGGTGAGTAAGCAGACTGGTATCATTGTACCAGTCTGCAGGCCAAATGTAGCCCGACCCGCCGAGGTACATTGCTACACGTTACAGATGTAGGGACGGCAGACCCCCCCACAGACCCAGGTTACGGGGTCCGCAATTTTCCCGCCGGGTCTCGGTACCCCTACAAACAGTATATACACCATCTCTCCCGAACCCCTTCGTGTAGGGGCGCGGAATTCTTACTTATCGGCTTACTTTGCCGCCTATGTTTACCAAAAAATCCTTCAAGTGGTTACTCTATCTCGACCCGCCCCTCTCCCCCCCCCAGCATAGGGGCTTGAATCTTAAATTACCGTCCAATTCCCCCCTCCCCCCTAGCATAGGAGCGTTAACTTTTTAGTACCGTCCAAGTCATTCCTTCCCCCCCCCCGCACCGCCAATTTGTCTTACCATCATGAGGGAATAAACTATTAAACATTAAACAGTCGTTCACAATATTACATATCATTAGAATCTATAAAATAGACACAGTTTGTTTTGTAAACTCTGCCATTATTCCCGTGCTGTTACGTTCTTTAACTCCAAACACCTTTCTTCTAAATAAATAATGCAGAAATAGGTTAAACCGATCAGCACTAACACCGTTCACAGGGGGTATTTTAAAGTTAATAGACACAGTCCAGGGGTTCGGTGAAAATATACATGACCTGTCGCATCCGATCAGACAGATTACCAGTCATTCATCAGCTCTCATAAACCAGTGATTTGCATAAAAATGCTGGAATCATATACTCTGAGTTTTTGTCTAGGCATCTTAAAAATCACAGTGGTACACAAGTACTGACCCAGAATTTCTTTTGGCCAGGAGTTGGCCAGGAGGTACGTAAATATTGCAGTACCTGCGATATGTGCCAGAGGGTAGGGAAGAGGGGAGACCGGCGGAAGGCGAAGTTGCATCCGCTACCTATAATTGAGGAACCATTTCACAGAATAGCGGTAGATATCATAGGCCCCCTTCAGAATCCTAGCCCTTCGGGCAAGAAATATATTTTAACTGTTGTGGATTACGCCAACCGATATCCAGAGGCGGTGGCCCTGACAAATATACATGCCGAAACCGTGGCCGAGGCCCTGATGCAGATTTTTTCCCGGATGGGGTTACCCAGGGAGATCATCTTGGATCAGGGTACTCAATTTACCGCAGAGGTCACTCAGCAACTCTGGAGATTTTGTGACATTAAACCTATCATTAGTGCACCATACCACCCCCAGACCAATGGGCTCTGCGAACGGTTCAATGGTACATTAAAACAAATGCTCCGAACCTTCGCCGAGACCCACAGGGACTGGGAGCGATTCCTGCCTCACCTCCTCTTTGCTTACCGGGAGGTGCCGCAGAAGTCCACCGGGTTTTCCCCATTTGAGCTGTTATTTGGGAGGAGAGTAAGAGGGCCCCTAGACCTTATTAGAGAACATTGGGAGGGAGACCGGAGCACAGATGGTACCCCCATTGTACCATATGTGTTGGCGCTCCGAGACCGACTGGAGGCCCTAACTAAGACAGTAAAGGAAAACCTTCAGGCGGCTCAGATGCGCCAACGCACCTGGTATGATCGGGGCGCCAGAGAATGTAGCTTCCAGGTTGGGCAGAAAGTTTTAATTTTAAAACCTGTCCGACATGATAAGTTACAGGCCGCCTGGCAAGGCCCTTATAAAGTCGTGGAACAAAGATGTGACAACACTTATATAATTGGCCCCTGCACAGGAACTGGAGGGCGACGCATGCTTCATGTGAACATGATGAAGCCCTACCAGGAACGCTCAGAAGAGGTGACAGCTATTTGTGCACCCAACTCCGACGAGTTTGACAGCCTTCCCCTCCCAGGGGAAGGCTGTCTGGGGATTTAGGAAAAGTTGTGCTGGGAGATTGGCTGAGCCCACCAGAGCGTACCGAGCTGTTGAGAGAGAAGCAAGACACCTTCTCTAATGTGCCTGGTCCGGCCCGGACTGGCAAATGCCCGGTGGGCCGCGGTGTCTATGGGCCGAGGCCGGCAGGGGAGGTCCCAGGATCTATGCAGGGCCGGCACTCTCCTAGCGCCGGCCCCGCTGTTTGCCACGACGGGCCGGTGGGGAGATCAAAGAGCTCCCTGTTGGGGATAAAATCAGCCCGGGCCCTTTGTGGATGATGGATATTTGCCAACTCATACAGAGCTCTGGAAATTGGAAATGAATAGCAGAGACGTGTTCAATAACCAATTCAAATTGTATTCATACGTCAGTTATATTTATACCCCATTTTCATAGCAGGATGGAAGGGGGAAAAATGAGCATATGGGCGTGACAATGACATTGTTTTTCACAAGTTATAAACAGCTGTTTTTAGTTATAATTCGATGTTACATAATGTATGCATATTGGATAAAACCCAGATGATTACAAATACCAAAATCATGGACAATTAACAAGGTTATTCCAGAATCCTTATCATGTCATGTCATGTCATGTAGATATCCAAAATCATGTTCCAATAACATTACCCGTACATAGATAAGTTTTATTTCCGAGAATTGGAGATACAATTCCAAATTTATTCTTGGGTCAAATTAACCCTTATATGAACAGCTAGGATATTGAGCATAATGGATATTCGCATCTACAATTCCCTTCTTAGATCATATCATGATCTACCTTATGGAATATCCATGGGAGGCCTGCGGCAGAGAAACCAAAGGAGGTATGTTCAGACGTGCTAATCACGTCTGCGGGACTTTCATTATTTCTTCACCTCGATTTCCCCCATTTGCTCTGTGCCGTAGGTGTTCCCTTTAAGAGGAGATCGAGCTGTCAATTTTCAGCTTCTGTAATCATCTGTTGTATACATCTTTTAAGTATACATGTTAAAAATTTCAAACAGCTGACATCTTAACCAATTTTAAACAGACTGCACATCATGTTATCTGCAACTTGAGCCTTGGATCAAAACAGGCAAAGTGTATTATTCCCAACAACGAGGAATATTATTATTATAATTCACAACGTAAACACATATAATCAAAAATGGGAATAAAATCTATTTCCCCTCTTTGGACCAGTCCACCCAGTGAACTTGGGCCAGGTCAAAAAACCCAGTGGCAAAAACTCATAGTTGAGGAAAAAAGCACATCTGGGTAAATTCTAAGTGAGGGCCATGACTGTGTAAACATGTCATCCCCTCACGTTGACAGCATTAGTGACTTATAAAACCTGCACTTTGTAAGTAAATAGCTCAGGTATCGGGATTGGGAAACACTTCTTGATTAGTTTGAAAAGGCCCACTTACATATTAAATCATAAGATCATTTCTAATCAGTTTGCAATTCTAGCAATAATCCCAATCATGACTTTGCGTCCTATGCCTCCTAATCAAATCCCTATTTTGACGGTCCAGTCATATCCACACTTAATACATGGGAATCCATCCTTGGTACACTCAACATACATCAATGACACACATAGTACATCCATGCCTGAGTAAGCTAACACTTCCTCTCTCTCCGGCTAACTCTACAAAAATAAAAATAACAAAATAGTTCAATAGTCCAGCATAGTCCAGAAAAATATTATAAGTCTTTCAAGGAGTATAAAGAATCTTAGACACCATAAACTTTGTTCCATAATCTTAGACACCATAATATAGCTAAGGGTAGCAATATGGCTGACAACAAGACAATGTCAGCTTCCACATAGTTCTTAATTCTTCTGTTTGCTGGATGTTCACCACAATACTCCAATACTCCAACACCCCAATTGTTGAAAGGGTAATACAGAAATAGCGGCATTAGACAGCACTGCATCTTCAGGACTTTCCAAGTTAGTTTATGTCCTCATAAGTAAGCATCTCAGTTTCTTCAGCCAGCATGGATTTTGACCAAACAGATTTAATTGCAAAAAAGGTAGGTAGGCAGGTAGGTCAGCCAGAGAGATTGGTGTGTAGTCCCAAATATCAGGCAGCACAAATACTCCAGTACGGTCTCTATAATCATACAAACACAAGGATCAGTACGACATCAATAAATTAATTATCTAGGCTAAACTCAAATTAGAAACTAAAGTTAAACTCTTAACTAGTGTAACATGTACTTCGCTTAGTTTTGCTTATAATTCATTGAATTTGTCCTTTATAAAATTTTAATACATAATTTCCCTTTAGAATGCCTTTGTATGGATGAGAGAAGCACTCATTCTATATATATGCTTGTTGAGTACTCAAACACTAACATATACATATTGGTATAATTCCCAATAAAATGCTGTAAATTTAAACCTTGATTTGATAATCCCAATTAATTACTTTAATAAAATTGGAAGTTTTGTGGACCCTGATAACATCTTTGGAAACCGAAACCTTTTATAGATCCCGATGTGTGTGATCATGTTTTAATACATGTTGGAACCTCCATACAGTTATCCCACTTAAACAATATTTTTTTTTTCAGAACAACTAGGAATGAAATAGGAGAAACAAAATAAATTACTATTGTTCTAAAGTGCTTTGTTTAATACAGGTTTCAGAAGAGTTGTCTTGCTGTGTTGCAAGTGGCCTCTGATAAGGAAGGGACAGCAAACTGTAGACATATGTTATATTAAGTTGCTCTCACTTGTCAGGTCTTGGAAACCCACTTATTTTATTGCAGATGCCTCTATTATACCACTTTACAAATTGACTAAGCATACTTATTATCCTATTTTATTTTAGTTATTTCACATTGCACAGCCTATGCAAACAATGTCTAGGTCCCAACTTCAGCTTGTACATCCTCTAAGAGCCAGCATTAATACTGTTTTATCTATCAAAACGATATATAAAGTATTAAAAACATGAACCATCTGTGTATTAGGCTGTTGTTGGGTGTCGGTATAGCTTGAAAGTTGTGGTTGGTATTGAGGAACCTGCCAGGGTGGGGTTCTTGAACATCAGCTAGGCCAGGTTCTCCCTTAGCACCGGGTTCTCCTTTGTCTCCTTGAGCACCAGGTTCACCATTGTTACCCTTAGGTCCAGGGGAACCTTTGGGGCCCTGAGGTCCAGGAGCACCACAGGCACCACTGAAGCCAGGTACACCAGCAATACCAGTGGGGCCAGCTTGACAGGTAGAACTGGGTTCACCACGAGCACCTTGGGGTGAATCCCTGCTATCCACAATTAAAACAGTGCTGAAGTTACTACCTCTACAAAAGTTAGATCCTTTGATCAAATTCTCTACCTCTGCCTCTAAAACTTTTCTGATTCAATCTCCTATCACCTCCAAAATTTCTTTGTCTCGCCTGCTTAAGATTACAATCCTTTTGTGACCAATACAACATACTTTTCCCTCTTTCTTTATATCAAAACAACCTGCTGTATCTTTCTCATGAATCTTCCCAAGAAATTCAGTTGGGGTCAAAGAGGGCCAGTCACAGACCAACAGTTTAACCAAAAGTGAACAAGGAGGAAGCATATTCCATATGCAGGTCGAGATGACCTAACTCACACCCCCTCTTTGTGTACACCTCTTTGTGTACCACACAGATATAATATTAATAAGCTTTTGAAGATTTATTGTGCATGTATAGCACGGTTGTCTAGGGGTGTATACATAAACAGTGAAAGCAGAGTCTTCATATAGGGTTTGCAATACTGACAGTCTGGGTTATAGGTGTAATGCAGACATGCGGTTAGGAACTTTTACATTGTCAGAATACATTGAAAACACTAATATATTGCAAATATTAAAATCATATTGCAGCTGTTTCCTATACCTGCAAGGATATGGTTGTAATACTTCAATTGAGATCAAATTGAGTATCAAAAATTCTAACCACAAAAACGAAATTTTATATGCTTATCAAAAATGAGTTTAACCCCTTAGCAATTTAATAGGGTGACCTCTTCCCATAGTATGGTTCCTTTTATAATTATTATATTATTTATTCTCTTCTGGGTCTGCAAAATGCTTTCAATATACCAATACAAATATAATACAGTAGTTTAGAATTGCCTCAAAAGAAATTATCTGATCTATTAAAAATACCATTTCATCATTTTCCTATAATCAATGAGGCATACTAGATGAATCTTAATTTTGGAAAAAACCTATCCTATACATCCATAATTTTTTTTTTTTGTGTTGTATAACCATATAACATAACACTTATTTATGTTAAAGATAACAAATTTTTCTTTTCTTAAATAATGCAATGCACTTTAAAAGTAGCGTTAACTCTAAATACTCCCCTAATAATACTGAAACGTGGATCCACGATTTTGAAAAGCAAATGATATATTTTTTCCTTTTCTTTCCCAGGGGCCCCTTTCTTGTTGGCTGATCAGCGTTTTTTAATCTGTTGTAAAAAGACACTAAAGGCTTGCGTTAATGACATGCAAATATTCTTTAAATATTCTTCATACTCATTGTAATATCACACATCATCTTATAGCACAGAAAACATGTAGCAGATATCCAGCAGACATGCCAATACAAAAAGCATATTCATGGACAGGCAATTAACTCAATCCAAAATAAATTAATAAATGTCACCCTCTGTGACAGAGATAATATAGGTTCTCATGTTTGTGCATTATGCATGTCTGCAAACAATGCAAGCAGTACTACTTTAAGGTTAGATCAGAGCACCTGGCAACTGGACAGGAAAGTCAAATTTTGGCAGGAAGTCCATTATTGCAACAGAATTTTGGAAATCAGCTAAAATTTACAAAAACAGACTCCCTCTTTTTTTTTCTTTCTTAAGACTACAACTCATATTGCTCTTGGACTAGTATTCAATAATAAATCAGTTATTTAATAGATTATTACGCTGCCATTTCCAGCTGTATCAATACTAAGACAAACTTATTCAAATATAATTTAAAATAACACAGCAAAATAGCCATTAACATACATGACAATTAAACTGCGCACTTCAAAATGAGTAACCAAAACAAACATTTATGACAATCATCATTCACACAGAATAAACTTCTAACAGCTGTATTCAGAACATATTATTGTAAGGTATACCAATTTTAGTTTGTATCAGATTTATTTAAGATTTCTGGTACCAAAGGGTTTATTTTTTATTTTTAAAGAAGGGATCCCATACGACCATATAACGCGTTTGACTTAAACATTTGTATAACACTTGCATTAACCAGTTGCGACATATGAAACCTGTCAATGGAATTTCTCTCTTATACGCTTATAGAACATTTGGACCAGATTACACAGACATGGTATCACCTGCATTTGTCAGAACTCTCAAAGACTCAAAATATTTATACTACTCCATGTTAAAGTCATGGCAAAATTTTGACCGGTCAATTTGAGTTTCCAAAAGTCATATCAACACAGGTTAAAACCTTTGTCCATGGTTTTCTGATCCTACATTTCATGACCAAAATTTCAAACCCACTTCTTCACAGTTTGGGTCGCAAGCAATAAAATCTCAGCATCCCCATACAACAATTTACAGAATACATACAATTTAAAGCACATACAACATGTGACGTACTGGAATACTACAAGTTAGCTTACAGCACAAAATGAAGCATGTGTTGGAACGCTGAAAATATAAATTTTGCTTTCTTCTAAATTTACAACATAAATTCTCTGCAACAAACACACAGGGCAGAAAGAATGTGGTGTTTGACGTTTTGAATGAAGTGACTTTTTGTCCCAATATGAAAATAAAGGGCTCATCATATAAACAATCATACATCCCACTCTCATGAAAAAGTGTAGTGGGCTTATAGTACTTTTGTCCAAGTATAAAAATAAAGGGCTCATTATGCAAACAAACAAACATACATGCAGAGAAATCATGTTAGTTCTAGAATTTGTAGCCCCCCTTAAATAACCTCTAATTTTTGTCTTATTCATCATTACCTTTACATGTACTTTTGACATTCCCTCAATTAAGACTTTATACTTAAAATCAGCGTTGCACATCATAAAATAGCACATAAATTAGCAAGCCGGAGTAATGCCAAACATCCATCATACCTTTTAACCCCCTTTTTTTTTTTTTAAAACCATTTTAGTCTGCAACATTTACATCTACGTTAAATAAATACCACAGTCCACCAAAGACTGGAAATCTGTTTTACAACCTACCAAAGGCAACCTCTACCAAAGAGGGATCTAGGGACGTCTCCCATATGTAAATGTACATCACCGTACATCACAGCCTACCAAAGGCTTGAAATTCTTTTTAACACCTGGCCAAAGGTGAACCTCTTACCAAAGAGGAAATGTGCACATAACTACTACTGCCTACCAAAGGCAATCCTCCAACCCGTGGAGTAATAGAAGTCTACCAAAGACTTATAAATACCATGTCTACCAAAGACATTATGCAGTGAAAATCCCCTTTAAAATTTTAAATAGTGAAAAACCCCATTACAAATGCAATGTGTGGGGGATGGGAGAAGCAGGTAAAGAAGGACTTTAAAGAGCCTCTTACCTGTCATCTCCGTTCCGTCCAATTGCACCCAAAAACTTCTGACACCAGTTTGTTGGGGATAAAATCAGCCCGGGCCCTTTGTGGATGATGAATATTTGCCAACTCATACAGAGCTCTGGAAATTGGAAATGAATAGCAAAATGAATAACCAATTCAAATTGTATTCATACGTCAGTTATATTTATACCCCATTTTCATAGCAGGATGGGAGGGGGAAAAATGAGCATATGGGCGTGACAATGACATTGTTTTTCACAAGTTATAAACAGCTGTTTTTAGTTATAATTCGATGTTACATAATGTATGCATATTGGATAAAACCCAGATGATTACAAATACCAAAATCTTGGACAATTAACAAAGTTATTCCAGAATCCTTATCATGTCATGTCATGTCATGTAGATATCCAAAATCATGTTCCAATAACATTACCCGTAAATAGATAAGTTTTATTTCCGAGAATTGGAGATACAATTCCAAATTTATTCTTGGGTCAAATTAACCCTTATATGAACAGCTAGGATATTGAGCATAATGGATATTCGCATCTACACTCCCTCACCGGCCCAAATGCGTCCGCCGGCGGGGAGAGAGGGAGGGACACAGCCGCCATGAGAGGAGGACCTGTCGGAGCTCTAACTTGCAGCTCCGCTGGGTTCCTCTCGCGAGATCCGGCGCATTGCCATGGCAACGACCGGATCTCACGAGAGTGAACTCTAGCCTCACAGGCTAGAGTTCACTCACCCACGAGGACCACCAGGGAACACCGCCACCCAGTCACCAGTGTGCCGGTACCCCCCTCCCAGGCTAAAGGTAAGAAGGGAGGGGGGAACATAATGCCTGTTTTTTGTTTTTGTTTATTTACCCCCCCCCCAAAGACACACATAATAACATTTATACAGCACTGTCACACCCATCACCCACAGCACTATCTCACACAGCACTCTCACACCCATCACACACAGCACTCTCTCACACAGCACTCTCTCACCCATCACACACATTACTCTCTCACAGCACTCTCTCACACAGCACTTTCACACACACAGCACTCTCTCACACACATCACTCTCTCAAACACAGCACTCTCACACCCATCACACACAGCACTCTCACACCCATCACTCACACACAGCATTCTCACACCCATCACTCACACAGGGCACTCTCACACACATCACACACACACGGCACTCTCACACACACCGCACCCCTCACACACACACATACTGCACCCCTCACATACACACAGAACCCCCCCAACACACTGCACCACACACATACACAATACTTCCAAATACATATATATACATATAAAAATCACAATAGTTTACATACACACACACACACACTACACTCTTAACATACACACTCTGGATCCCCTATACACACACTAGATTTCTTGTAAGCAAACACATACTACACCCCTAAACACACACTACATCACCTATGCACACACACAGCCTGTATGCACACACTTGCTATATCCCCAATACACACATTCTCTACAGCCCATAGCCACATATGCATCACATTACACCACAAACACAACACGATTAAAACCAACATTATTACACAATACCACACCACTACCAGCTCACTCTACACACACGCAATACCACAAGCAGGCTCCAAACACATGCACAATACTCTTTCCTGGCCCTTTTGTCTCCTGGTTTATAGAGACACCAGAGACAAGTTGCAAGGAAACACAGCGCAAGCATGTTATTAAATTTTCTTGCACTGTGCAGAACAAATACAGGACTTTTTTCTCATGCTAGAGCTCTTTAGCAGAGCTCTGCGCATGGTCTGCCCTGGAAGAGCATTGAACCAACATGCTCACTTTGAGAGGAGGCGTGTTTGTCATTGGTGATGACAAAACACACCTCCTCTGCCCCGCCCCATTTTTAGTGGGCCGCTGTGTTAAAAAAATGCCCGGGCCGAATTTTTCTCCCAGAAATTTCCCGGTGGGCCGTGGCACTTGGGGCCGCACAGTGCAGCAGCCCTTCCTTTCCCCATCCAGTACACACACACTCACATTAGGGGTACTGGGGAGCACAGGTCTCCTCTTACCTCTTGAAGAGGCTTTCCTTTATCCACTCGCGAGCAGCGGGTGCTGGAAATTTAACTTCCAATGCTGCTCGCGAGTGAGACAATGAGCAGACAGCCGGCAGGAGGAGCCTGGAGTGAGTGCAGGGAGGATGGAAGTCTCTGTCCCTTCCTGACAGCCTTCACACACAGGAAGCATGTGACCTGGCAATCAGACAGAGCAGGGCAGCCCATACGGGTCTTCTGAAGTCTTGCTTCCTGTGTGTAGAGTGCTGTCAGGCAGGGAGCCCTGTGAGAGAGCTGGAGGGAAGCTGCTGGGAAGGAGCAAGGTAGGCTCAGTGAGCAGAGGCACCCAGGCATTTCATGTTTATTGTACTGATTCTTAGAGTGTTTATATTTGAGGGTGTAGTTGTGAGTGTGTTTGGTGTGTATTTTTGTAGTGTGTGTGTCAGTATGGATCAATGTGTGTGTGTGTGTCATTATGGATCCATGTGTGTGTATGTGTGTCAGTATGGATCAATGTGTGTGTGTGTTATTATGGATCAATGTGTGTGTGTGTGTGTGTGTGTCAGTATGGATCAGTGTGTGTGTGTGTCAGTATGGATCAATGTGTCAGTATGGATCAATGTGTGTGTGTGTCAGTATGGATCAATGTGTCAGTATGGATCAACGTGTGTGTGTCAGTATGGATCAATGTGTCAGTATGGATCAATGTGTGTGTGTGTGTCAGTATGGATTAATGTGTGTGTGTCAGTATGGATCAACGTGTCAGTATGGATCAATGTGTGTGTGTCAGTATGGATCAATGTGTCAGTATGGATCAATGTGCGTGTGTGTCAGTATGGATCAATGTGTGTGTGTGTGTCAGTATGGATCAATGTGTCAGTGTGGATCAATGTGTGTGTGTATGTCAGGGAGTGTGTTAGCATTAGTGATTGTGTGCCAGTGTTTGTATGGGATGCAGCATTAGTTTGTGTGCCAGTGTCTGTTGATGAGTACATGTCAGTATCAATGGGCATCAGTGACTACACGCCTGTGTGTGCCAGTGAGTATTTATTAATTAAAAATCCATGTGTCTGTCTATGTTTTTTTTTTAATTTAAAATAAATTGAATCTAAAAAAAATTATATATAGTTTTATATAGTTTTGCTTTATCTATGTGATTTGGTAATTTGATGGGAGTATTATGCATCTATATATTTGCGCAAATGTATATTAATATATGTGTATTATATCAAAATATATATATGTTCAGCCCCCACGGTGATCGGCTGCCTGAGAGCAGAGGCAGGCATTGGGATCACTGAGGCAGGCAGGCTGCTGGGGGCGGCCAGCTCATTTATTGCAGAGGGAGGGAGATGGGCGGCCGGCCCGTGGGGAGCTGTGGTAGAAAAGGTTGGCAGCTGACGGAGGGGAGCAGCCGGGTAATGCAGAGCAGAGGGAGGCGGGCGGCTGACTTAGTGCCACGGCGAAGATGCTGTAATCTCCCTGCTCTGCTCCCTTGCGCAGCTTGCAGTGATTCACGGAGCTGGGTTATGATGTCACTCTGGCCCCCGGCTCACTAAACAGTGCGTGAGAGGGAGCCGAGTAGGGAGATGACAGCAGTGCTACTGGACCCCAGGGAAAGCATATTCTCTCCAGCTCTCTAAAGGTAAATTTAAATAAAAAGAGTAATTACTTGTGAGTGAGTGTGTGTGTCTGTCTGAGTGTGTGTGTTTGTGAGTATGTCTGTGAGTGTGTGTCTGTCGGAGTGTTGGTCTGAGTGTCTGTCTCTGTGTCTGTCTGTGAGTGAGTCTGAGTCGGTCAGTAAGTGTGTGTGTTCCCTCCAATCACATGGGAAAGGGTTTTCTTTTTTTTTTTTTTACTCACCTTTTTTCCACGCTGTGGCTGGCCCCACCTCCATGGCTGAAATCCTCAATCTTGACGATCTCAGCCAATCCAATGCTTCCTCATAGCAAAGCATTGGGAGACTATTGCGCATGCACGGCAAAATGCCACTGCGCCAATTTACCTTCTCATAGAGATGCATTGAATCAATGCATCCGTATAGGGAACATTAACGTAGGGCTGCACAGTGTGAAGCACTGACCCAGGAAGCACCTCTAGAGGCCGTCTGAGTGACTGTCGCTAGAGGTGTCACTAGGCAGCAATGTAAACACTGCCTTTTGTCTGAAAAGTCAGTGTTTACATTTAAAAGCGTTCAGGGTCAGGATATAGACTTCAGAGCAACTACATTAAGCTGTAGTGGTTCTGGTGATTATAGTGTCCCTTTAAGAATTGTATTTTTGACGTTGATTTCTCTGGCTCCTAACTTTTCTAGCTGGCTGCTAGATTCCAAACTAATTTGTAAAACTGTATGTGTATATACACACACACACACACACACGTAATCTTATAAATTATTATGGTTATAATATATATATATATATATATATATATATATATATATATATATATATATACACATATACACACAAACATCAGTATGATACACATGTGTTAATAGACATATGCATATATAATACACATTTGGCGATTACACACTTATATAAATGTAACAAGGGTTTTACATTTTTCAAAGAGTTATTCACTAAATTTCTCATTTTAGAAAGTGAAAATCTAAATTGCGTAATTTAGACCAAAATAG